CCCCAAAACCCCAAAACCCCAAAACCCCAAAACCCCTTATAAAATAGTAATAATTGCAAAATAATAATTTCTAGTTATCAAAACAATATGAAATTAGTAGGTATTATAGTCATGATCCTTCTTGTCTCGGCCATGGCTAAGAACAAGTGAAGGATCCTGAGCTTAAGCTCAGGAACAGAAAAAGCTGCTTACCAAGTAGGAGCCCTAAAAGCTCTGATCGAGCACCTTGATCCTAAGGAAGTAGAGTACGACGTCATCTCAGGAGTATCCTTCGGAGCATTCAATGCTGCTATGATGGCAGTCCATGAGAAAGGAGACGAGAAAGAAGCTCTTGAAGAACTCTATGGAATCTGGAAAAACGCTAAGAGTATTAAGACATACCAGAACTGGTGGTTCGGGCCAGCTCAGGGAGTGGTTAATCAAGGAGGTCTTTATGATAGCAAACCTTGGAAGCAATTCCTGGAGAAGACTATTGATGGCAGAAATGCTAAAAGAATGATGACTCTTGGTGCAGTAAATGTTGAAAGTGGAAAGTATACAGATTTGGTTAACATCGTCACGCCAGATACTCTCCATTCTGCAATTAGCGCAGCCACCGCACTTAATATTTTCTTCCCACCAGCTAATGAGTTTGGGGCGGACTGGTTTGATGGTTCAGGTGTTTGGCCTGTCGAAGTGATTGGTCCTATCAGAAGATGCGAACAATTAGGATTTTCTAGGGCTGATATCATCGTTGATGTTCTAATGACTAATTCTTATGATCTTCCAGTTAGAAATGCTACTAATGATTCTACTATTCCAAGTGCATTGAGATATTTCGAGATTGCTGACTTTTACTCTGGGGTAAACGGAATTGCTAGAGCTATTTCAAGCTTTAGTGAAGTAACTTTCAGACATTGTGTTAACCCAGGAAAGGATCATCTTCCAACAAACTGGTTCCCATTTGATTTTAATCAAAAGAAGATTGATGTTCTTCTTGAAAGAGGATACGAAGATGCTTTAAAAACTATAAACAACCCTGATACAGTCACTTGCCAGAATCTTGTAAAAAGTGTCGCTCATATGAAACCTCCCACACCTCCAAAAGAGGTAGATGATCTCATTAAGGGAGAATTCGAATAATCAGAAGGTGTTTTTTCTTAATCCAATTTAATACCATCTCAATTTTTATTGGTTCAAAGGGGTTTTGGGGTTTTGGGGTTTTGGGGTTTTGGGG